TATTATCCACATTTCCTTTGTAAGGGACTCTCCCACTTGTAAAAATATTTAGCTGGCAGCAAAATTTACCCAGTGAATCATTCAATGTAGATTTAAAGTGCATAACACTATTACTTCTGTTGCCATTTGTGCAGTTCCTCTGTTGGTGGAGATTCTTTGTGGTCTATTTAAAGTGTTAAATAAAATATCCCATGTTCTCTAGTCATCACAAATGGGAGGCTGCAGTCACAACAGTCCAGCACTTCAGATGATTGAGACAAAATTTAAGAGATTAAAAAAAACACACCAATGAGATGTTATAATCTTTGCATTTTGAAGAAAGCTTTAATATGAAAGAATAGGAAAACTTGTAGACATTGGAGTATGATGTAAATTTAAGAGTGTCTGATCTTACAGTTGATGAAGAGTAAAAAAACAACTAAACAAAATTAATCCATAAATCCTATTAGAAAATCATTAAAGTTTTAAAAAATATATCCTAACTTTTGTGCCTCTAACACATCTCTAAATGTTTTTTTTTCTTTTTTTGTGGTTTTACTAATGCCCTTTTCTGGAAAATCACTTTGTCATTATGGTGTGTGGCACAAAATATTGCTGCCATCTAATACTGCATATGTAGTTTCACTTGCTCCTCTACTTGATGAGAAGCACTGAGCTGTGTGCAGTCTTCTTGCCATGGAAATTCACCGTGCATTTTAAAGGCTTGTTGAAGTCGGCTTCTTGAGGGGTGAAGGTGAGGGTTGACTTTGTTGACCACAACCATTTATTCATCTTTTTTGACTTTGTTTTCAAAATTCCTCCGTGGCTCCAGAAGATTTTGGGAGGAGATGATGGACAGGCATGTGTAACTTTGCAGGTGGCAGTCACTTTTTTAAGGACTGCAACAGACATGATGGGAGGCTCAGGAACTCCTGTACAATCAACAATTTTCACAAAATTGCTTGTTAAATAGTTATTTAAATATGTTTTACTAACTTAAAGTAAATGGTTTAGAACTGCTGAAAAGGTCTCTAATATACTCACGGAAGACATTGAGGGTCACTGTACTTTTTGAGAAAGTGAAGCTTTGATGTTGTGGAATTTCAATTTTGAAGTAAAACGGACCAGTGTCGGTTTTTCTGACACGATTCAGCTGCCAGGTACAGTTGCCGCTTTGAAGGGTTCCTGTAATTCTGGTTCTATGGTGGAACTCGCGAGTTAGTTTCAAATTGTGGACATTTGATGCGACAACTGTATTCCCTCTCTTCCAGTATCCCCACCATGTCTTAAATATTTTTCTTGTTTTGGGGTAAAAGTACTTACAGGGAATGACCACACATGAGCCTTGAAGAACAGAGATTTTTGATGGTACAGATATGCGCCAGTTCTTGCCCGAGCCTATAGATTTAGCCATCCCTGCAATAAAGCACAAAAACAAGAATATTTTCTTAGCAAGTAGACAGTGATAGAATGATGATAATTCATGAATTGTCATTTTAAGATTAAACTTACCACAAACCATCAGAATTGAGAGCCACAATTTCAGATCCATCATCAGCTGACTAGAAGTATAAAAACCAACATAAAGATTAAGATAAAGATAGAAAAGTCTTTAGTGAATTCTTTTTAATCTTCAAAGTAATGATCCACTCACCTTTTAGTTTCTTTAACATATGACTGAAATTAAATCTTGTAAGATTTGAATGTTTTGAGGGCAAAAACTATGTCTCTGTCCTATTGTGTGGTGAGAGTGAGTCTTGTGCTTATAAAGCAAACGTTTAGACCTTCAAGCCAGAAATTGTTACAGTTTGCAATCAAACTTTCCCCTTGTCATAAACTGATTATTATGTAGCTATTTTGTACTTTTTCCATGATGTTTTTGATGAAGAGAAAAATAAATGTAGCAGATGTACTAAAACTCTGCAACAATGTGGTTTTTGAATAAAATGGTTATCATGTAAAATCAGTTCAGGTATCATTATGAATCACTTCCTGAAAGTCAGCACAGTGTACCTAGCATCAGGTGTGGAGCAATTAAATATGGTAATGCTTGACCAGAAATCAAATCTTTGGACTTTTAATATTTTTCATCAGTCCTGTGAAGATTTGGGTTTTCTGTGTGTTAATTAGTCCCTATGTTCTTGTTGTCTACCCCTTGATTGTTTCCAGCTATCCCTCAGTTCCCCTAATTACCCTCTGTGTATTTATACTCACCTGTGTCTGTTTCCCTGCCAGATCCTAGTGGTTTTCTTGTTTAGTCGTGTGTGTTTCCAGTGCTACCAGTGTCTGAGTTCCTTGTTTCATTGCTCACTTGTGCTGCCTGGACTTCTGTACCTTCATCAGTGAACCACTGCCACCTAAGCCAGACATCCCTGCCTTCCATTCTCAGCCTTCCTCCACAGCTCCTTCTCTCCTCCGTCTCCAAGACCAGTGATGCATCCAGCACAGGTAAATGGGCATCCAGCCCTGTTAAGAAGGCAACAAAATTTTCTCTGCCCGAATCTCCCAGTGCTCTGCCTGAATCTAACGTTCCTGAGTCAGAGCAGGTGGCTAGCCTCCCTGAGCCAGCAGCCAACATCCATGAGCCAGCAGCCAACATTCCTGTGCTGTCAACCTGGCGGCACTCTAGGTCCTCCTGGTGGCTCCAGCCGGCCTCCGGACACTCTTCATGGGAGATGAGCCCTTAGTCGCCTTCAAAGGGTTCATCTCCTTTGTTGCCTTCAAAGGGCTCGTCTCCTGCGTCGCCACCCACCACAGATCTTCCCTGAAGGGTTCGCTTCCTATACTGCTGTCCACCAGACTTGTACAGCAGGCCCCGCTCTGACCGTATTGTTTATTTTGACCGAGTTTACTTTGTTTCTTTGTATTCATTTTGGACTCTGGCCCTCCACACACCCTGTTTGGGTTGTTTTTTTTTTAATCTGTTTTTTTTCTTAGGGCATCTGGTAGCCGCCCTTTGGGTGAGGAGGAAGGTAAGGCACTGTTAGGATTTGGTTTTCTGTGCGTTACTCCCTGTCTTGTCCTCGGCTACTCCTTGATTGATTCCAGCTGCCCCTCATTTCCCCCGATTACCCTGTGTCTGTTTCCCTGTCGGATCCTTGTCATGTTTTTTTTCATGTGTCGCGTTCCAGTTCTGTGTGTCTCTAGTGCTACCGGTGTTTGAGTTATTTGCCTCACTGCTCACCTGTGCTGCCAGGACTATCATTATGGCACCTCAACCTGGGTCCCACCGTGTCTGAATCCTCACCACTAACCAACAATCCTTGACAAGTCCCATAACGTTACCCAGGGGGAAACGTGTGGTAGGAAAATATTGCTGGTCAGTGAGGTGCGATTATGGCACTACTCAGATAAATGTTCAAATGCAATATGAAACGTATAATTTTACTGCTTTTCCTCATGTTAAACATGGTAAAGCTTTAGCTCATAATTATGGTGCCAAAAAAGTCACATACATTTGAACTGACTCAATTAATATAGTACTTTTATAATCATACCAATTACTTCATACACAGGCCCACTCAGTTGCCCATGGACACGTCAATATGACAGTAGGAAGCTGAAATTGAACCCACAGCTTTCAATTTTGCAAGAAAACTATTGCACAGACAGCCACACCACTATTGTGGTTTCTTTGTTTGAAAACTCACTCTTTGGCCACTTTATAATTTACACATTCCTAGTTCTTGATTGGACCCAACAAGGTGTTTGTAACATCAATCAGAGCTCTTGGTCTATTTCCACACTGGTCTCTTTTCGTTGTAGGCTGTTTCTTTGAAGATTCTGTTTTGCATTTTAACGTGGACTTACTTCTTGCAGTACTTTGGTTATAACAAATGTTTGTTTTTTGGCGTATAAAAGAATCCAAAGTCTAAACCTTGTCTATGTAAAAAGTTAATTTATTGTTGATTTAAATGAGTTACAGGAATTTGCATATAGTCAAACTTAGAGTTTTGACTTCAGTCTATAATGGGACAATACTTGTCATGTGGATTTCAATAGCAGCTGGTTTGATATTAACTGACGGCTTGCTATTTTTTTTAAACCAAAGTACTGCACAGAGTGATGCAATTGGTCAAAACAAAGGAAGCATCACAAGAATGTCTTACTGTTGCAAAACACACCAACACTGGCTACATTTTTAAGCTTCTTAATTTTCCAGTAAGCCATAATCTGGAAGTGGTAAGAACGTAATTTCACCTACAAACCAGTTATGACCAGCTGCCTCTCGTAATATTTCTGACAGATGATTCAAAAGAATAATGATCTGTCCAGTAGTCAAGGATCCTTCGCTGAGAGCTTCGGAAATGTCGGAAAATGGCAGGTACACTTTTTATCATTGTGATTGATCTTAACAGCTGTTAAGATCAACATTTTTTGTTTCTATTGGTACTTTTAGTGATGTACACACATGACATATTTATATCTAACCACCGTCACAAAAGTAGCATCAGAAAACAGGATATTTTAGATGCTGTGTTTTTCTTGTCTGTGTTCATTTGATGTTCAATCCTGACTGTTGGGTTCATTATGTGACATACATGGAAGATTAGAAAATGAAACAATTTTGCACACAATCTTACCAACAGTGTGTGTGCATTTGTGTATGTGAGTTTTGTTTTTCTTTGTGCTCAGGGGGCAGACTGTCAACCTTGAAGAAAAGCCTGCATTGATACAGTTTGATTCATACTGGGTTTTTTTTTTTTTTTTTTTTAGCATCAGCAGAATCTTATCACCCTCCTCATTTTAGTTCAAAATGTCTCACAAACTGTTTATGTTGTTCATAATTTCTGGGAAAAAGGCTGACATGTTACCATAAAAAAGACACACTTCTTGGGGAAAAAAAACCTCACTAATTTCTGTTTATCAACCAGCCAGGTAAGATGACAGCTGACCAGAATCCAGACCCGACGACATCCATCCAAGGTGTGAGCTGAGCATTTGACAGCAGAGCTACGACATCTCCTTGACCTGCCATCATGGCTGAAGAAGGTGCCGAAGATTTGGGAGACGTTCTGTATTGTCCCTGCTCCAAAAAGGGACAGTCCATTGACCTCTCCAACTTAAGGCCTCCAGCACTATCGTCAAATGAAGACTGTTGAGAGACGTTGAGGCACCTCGGGCCTGTGATGAGGGACTGCCTGGATCATTTGCAGGCTGACTTCAGTGTGGACGATGCTTCTTCACAGAGCTTATGCTCACCCGGATAAACCACACATCACAGTGAGGATGTTTTTCTACTTCTTATGCCATCCTGTCTGTGATGCAGGTAGACCAAGACCTGGGGGCCTGGATTACTGATTACCTCACTAACAGGCCGCAGTGTGTCAGGCTGCACATCTCTCTCTGATGTTGTGGTGAGCAACAAGGGCACACCCAAGGGAACTGAATTATCACAGTTTCTTTTTACACTCTCCATCTCTGACTTTGGCTTCAGCTCTGGAACAAACAACCTACAGAAGTTGTCAGATGACGCCTGTGTTGTTGGCTGCACTACAGGTGACGGGGAGGAGGAAGACGGAGACTTGATTGAGCTTCACTGGATGGTGTGAGAGTAATTAACCAGCTTAATACAAGAAACTCCAAAGAGCAGAACACTGTTTTTAAGGGACAATACTAAACGCCTCTACAGGAAAGGTCAGAGTAGGCTGTTCTTTCTGAGGCTCAGGTCTTTTAATGTGTTCACTAGGCTGCTGCAGATATTCTACCAGTCTGTAATGGCCAGTGTCTTTGCTGGGGAGGTGGCATTGGGTCACACAGCATCAACAAGCTAAATAAGCTGGGAAGGAAGGCCAGTTTGGCTATGGGACTATAACTGGACAGTGTGAAAGGAGTGACCAGGAAAAAGGTGAGAGGGAAGTTAAAGGCCTTCATGGACAATCCCTCTGATCCATGCTGAGCTGAGGCAGCATAGGAGCTCCTTCAGCCCCGGGCCTCAGAGCAGATCGGAGGCTCATTTGTGCCATCTGGCTCCACAACATCACATTGCCAAAATAAGAGACTATTGTTGAGTTTACATTGTTTTATTTTGTTGCTATTTCTTGGGCTGCTATGCCAACTGTAATTTCCCCTGTAGGGGACTAATAAAGTTATATCTTATTTTATGTTAAGGCCTCAACAATTGAAAATTACCTTATGCATAAGATAAAATCTGTATATATTTTTGCTTGAACCTTTATCACCTCTGGTCTGTCTGCTTTTTACTGCCTTCCCTGTTTATAAGATGTAAGCAACTTTCATGTTAGAAGAGCTTTGTTGTTACATAGTTATTGATCACAAAATTAAAGCACACCTCAGAGTGTGCTAGTAGTTCGTTTTTTTTTTTTTTTTTTCCCTTCCTCCTAAAAATACAGTGTTGTCATTGGCATCAGTTTTACACAACTGTTGTGTTGTCGAAGAGAATGAGCAGATCCACATTTTTACTGTTTTATGCAGCAACACTGAACTCAACTTCAAATTATGGACAATAAATGTTATGACTGCAAGTAGATTAGACTGTGGCACATACATGTGGGTGTGTGCTGATGAACATTTTCAGGCTGTACTTCTTTTCTCGTCTTCCTGTGGTTTTGAATAGACGTA